ACTGCCATCAATTCCCTCTGCATCTGTTGATGACGAGGAGTGGTGAAGTACCGGGTGGCTGACCTAGCTTGACCCTGCGTACTGAAAGTCGACCCGGAGTGCTGTGAGCAAGGGATTAGCTATGTTTCATTTCTCATAATCCATACAGTCTGTCGGTATAGTTATCGCGTTGTGGTGTACGCAGGCTTTCCCGCATAACAGCGCCGACGGATGTAGGGACAGAGCGGTCCGGCAACTGGTTGGTGACGCTGTTTGACCCCGTTTGGCACGATCCTCGCACAAGGTCGCGCATGGCTCGCGTACGGTTCTCACTGCCTCCACTTTCTGATTTTTCTTGCCTGCCAGCAAACACTTCAACCTGCCAAAGATATTTCGTTACTACTGTCATCATACTTGTAGCTTTTTCGCAGCCCAGGTCTGGTTGGAAAAGGTTCATCAACTAGGCACTAAACCCGATGGTCCACGCAAACCGGTGTTTTGGCCGTGTGCGCACGTGAAACGGGTTGTCCAAGGCACTCAAGCCAATGCTTTACCCAGCACAGTCGCGTGGAATTCACAGGTTCGGAACATAATATCAACTATATCAACTATCCCGGTGCAGAGTGTACCCGTGGGGGTTCCGGGTTCTTGGGTCGACCTCCGGGCGTAGAGAGTTGACTAGCGGTTAAGCCAATTAAACCTATGTGCAGTCAGCTAGAGGTGAGCGCCAAGCAGTGGTCGTCCTAGTATGTTACCAGAGCCGCAGTAGTAGTTGTAGTAGGTAGTAGTCGTCGTCGCAGCCGCAGTCGTGGTCGCAGTCGCAGTTGTAGTCGTATTCGTAGTCGCCATAGTCGTCGTCGTAGTCGTAGTGGTAATGATAGTGGTAGTGGTGGTGGCAATGGTCGTGGTAGTAGCAGCGGCGGCAATGCAGAGCAGCCCTAGTGCCAGCAATTCTCGTTGTCAATGTACCAACGCCAATGATACTGAAAAAGACCGGAAAGGAGCCAACGTTGTGAACTCTCCTTGATTGCACCAACTAGCCACACGCAGCAGCAGTCAACCATGCAGCAATAGGCACAAGAAAAGAGGAAAGCCTCCCGGCTCAGAGAGTGCACAAGGTCTTCACACATGAGATTCATGAGGTTTTGTGGTGCGGCCTCCATGAGGCAACCCCGGACTTCAACCCTACGCCCTACGCGCAACCCTAGTATTGAGTATTGAAGCCCTTTATGTCGCTGTCCGGCTGGAGGATTGCTCGTGTCCGAATGCGAAACGCTTGTCGTTCTAGCAGGCTGCTACGACTTTGTGTATGTCCCGCACGACAAGACAAAGGAAAGGAATGTGGCCCTCGCTTTCGTCAACTTCACAGTCCATGCAGTGGCGCAGCTCCTTCGCTTCATATTTCGTTCTGTGATGAGATCTACTTGCTTAGAGGTGTCGAGTGGTTTTGCCACGTGAGTCTGGAGCACACGAACCGAAGTAGTCTTAGTTTTGGAACTCGTCCCACCAACACTACAACCATGCGCATCCTTACACATGCACACAAACTCACGCGAGTGTCTGTGACTGGGCGAGGATACTGAAAGAAGGGGGGTCTGCTGGTCGCAGTATGCCATTGCATGCCAAGAACGAACCCCCCATCACAGCCGTAGCAGTCGCACTTATGCATTTCTGCATTTGTAGCATCATTTCCCGCTGTGTCGGCTGAAAGCCGGCCATCCCACCCAAGTGAGGACTGCCTACGCGTACTTTCAGGGGCGCTTGAAGCAGATGGACGGCCGGCTCGGAAGCCACATCAGGGTCTCCCAGGCAAAGATCTAGGAAGGCTGTGCCAATTTGGTGGGTGCAAGTTAAATACTGCAATGGTTTTTGTCGTCCTGGACATCTGAAGTCCTTTACCGCAGTAGCCACATGCAACCAGTAGAAGCTGGTGATTTGTACCGAAGTGTTTGAAGAGGTTGCCCTGCAAATTCAGCGTGGGAGAGCGGTCCTTCAGTCCCACTGTAGGATTCAGGGAGGGTTGGTAACTACACCGCGGGAGAGCGGCATAAAGTAGGAGGACTCTCCTGGCACTAGATGCAATTCCTCTGCACATGGCACGGCACCGGGATGTCTGGTCTTGATTTAGCCCCCGAGTCGGTTGCAGGGCGGAGTGCCCCAGCTGTCGGACGCTCTCATCATGACAAGAACTGCACACACTGACGTGATGCCCATAAGAATGTACTTGGCCACTGAACCCTGAACCCTGTTGTGGGCCGAGAGTATTGCCGCGATGACTTGAAAGTAACCTTTGAACTTGCATTCGCAGTCCATCTCCAGTTCTTGCTGTATTCGTATGTGAATGCGTTACAATTATTATGATGTACATATCTGTATGTCGTACATATGTATGTATGTACGCATGCATGCATACATGCATGTCTGGCCGTCTGTCTGTCTGTCTGTCTGTCTGTCTGGTATGCTGGTATGCTGGTATGTTGGTATGCATGTATGTATGTATGTATGTATGTATGTATGTCTGTGTGTGTATGTGCGAACATATAATATTCTACACAAGCAATCAATCAATCAATCTATCTATCTATCTATATACATATACATATACATATACATATATATATATATTCACTTATTACTTAGTTATACACTGAAATAGTTACAGACTAGGAACAATGATAGTATTGCTTGTCTCTGGAGGCCGATGTTCAGGGCCTGAGCCTGAACTTGGCTTACTTCATCGCCAGGCGGAAGCTTTCTGGATTCAGGGTGCCGGCGTTAACTTGCAAAGGATGCTGAGCATTGCGGATGGGTTCCAAAACTGAGGGCTCATGCTGATCGCTTGAAAATAGCGGCGCCGGTAAAGCACTGGTGCATGGGCAGGTTTGAGGTATTTGCTTCCTAAGCCTTACTTGCCTGGGCCTGGCAGCCGATGCACGATATACTGAATGCCGTGCTCCCGGCGAATTTTACATTACACACCCCACTGCCACTTCCGAATCCATGTTTAGCTGCATCGAGCCGACGTTGCTTTTTCAGCACATTGAGGTCATGTTGCCAAGGCCCCACGTGCCCCAAACCCGAACCTCCAGGAGTGGCCTCATGGACCTGGATAACCCCTACGCGCCGCGCGTCTTTGAAGACGGGCGCCGCGTGCACCTTTTAGAGGCCGACAGGGGAGGGGTAATGTAGGGGCCCTCATAATTGGTATAGGATTTTGGGGTATATTATACTATATACTTATAATAAGGAAACCCCAAAATAGTAGTTCGAAGCCGCCTTGCAGAGGAGCTGGATCTGCAAGCACGGGTAAGATCTCAAAAGGGGTTCGTTGTTTAGGCTTTCCGTTTGGACACGGCGAAGCTCTAGTGCTGTTTCATCCGGATGCAAGCATGCTGAGAATCCTGTCGGTGCAGGAAAGACTTTAGCATAGCATGTCAATGCTACGGCGGTGTGGTGGGCGGCTATCTCTGGAATGCTGCAGGCGGCCATGAAGCACGTGACCATGAAACTGTTGGAGCAGGTGCCTTGCTCTAGAGCCGTCCTGCTTCAATGTGAATGCAACACCCTTGGTCCCTCGGAGGAAGGTTTGCCTCATCAAGAGATCCGCGCGTGGGATAACACGATTTCGAGAAGAAACACCAGAACACACACACACACAAACACACACACACACATACACACACGCACACACACACACAGAGAGTGAAGCGTCGCATCTGGATGTGGTGGTGTCAGCAGTGCCGAAACCTGAACCCAAACACTTGGGTAGTTCTCTAAATTAGGTCTTCTTTTGGTGTCCTTTTTGAAAGGGAGCCGTACGATTGTGGGGACCCAGAAAGGGACCCGAATTTGGAGAACTACAGTACCCACCCGCAGGCCAGCGTTCGGATGTGTTCAGGCGAGAGGGCGACTTGGCTTTACGAGGAGCCGTCAGCAATGGCACTGGAGTTCTGGGCTTAGGTTTAGGGTTTAGGGTTGCTAATTATAATGGCTTCTAACTTAAGTTCTTCTCCCGAGAGTCCAACATGTCGAGCCCTCAATGACTCAACCCTCAAATGCATCTCAAACGCCCCGAATAATTAGCAATCGTCTTCCCTTAAAGCCCCTATGTCCTGGAATTATAGCATAATTACAACACCCCGGAATCCTACTGTCCCCTGTAAGGCCCGAAATTACGGCAGAATTATTGCACCCCGAAACCCTATTCTTACCAGTAAGGCCTCCATCTTCGGAGAATGTGAGTCCTGAAGTCCTGCCGCCTCTCAGAGGCGTCTGGTCCAGACTGCTCGGACAAGGACTTAGAAGGGTTTGCAGTGCTTTGGGTTCAGGGTTTAGGGTGTAAAAGCGCGCGCGGGTTCAATTGAAGGATTCTACAAGGGGTTCAGGCGTCTCTTGTCGCGTTTTGCGATTGATTTTGAAGGGTTCTGCAAGGGGGTTTTGGATTGATTCGCTCTTCGGATGTTTGTCTTCTGTCAGGTCTGCTGCTTTCCTGCCGCTTCAGACCTCGAACAAGCCGCATGAAAAGGCACAAAGCCTTCGCAACCAAGCCCGAACTTTCCAACCTCAGGAAGCCACATGACCGCATCGGCGATGCGAGGTCAGAGACATGCGGCTTTGCTCAAAGTAAACCCCTCTACTTTCCGTTGTTTTGTGTGTGTGTGTTTGTTTTACTTTGGGGGTGCAGGGTTCAATATGTCGGCCCGGCCATCGCCAGAGACCTGCATGCAAAAAGGTTTGGGGCCGGGCTATCTTGGGCTTCAGGACTGAGGACCCATGCCCTAAGATCAATGACTCCACTGCCCCACAGAGCCTTCAGACCGGCCGGGTTTATGACTTCGGGGCTTTGGCAGGGCTTACCGAGCACCTCGACAGTTCTGTGACCACGGAAGGCAGCAATTCGCGCCCAGCCCGGGGTACTAAAGTACCAGCCCGGCGCAGGTCTCGGGTACCGGCACCAGCCCCTTAGTCAAATCGTGAGTGCCTAAATTCGCTCCAGAAAAGCCTTGTTTAGGGTTTGGGTCTCAGGGTTCAGAGAGTCTGGGTTCAAAAAACGGGCTCTGAACCCTAAGCCTCCAAAACCAAGGCTGGCTCGAGGAGGGCCGTTCCTTGTCTTTTGCCCTTTCCTCGGCCTGGGGCTTCCTCGAAGGTTGTGAGTATTTCTCCGGGTGAGGGTCGCGGTCGGCGGATTCCGTACCCCATGGAGGGCCTCGATTCCACGATCCTGCGACTCTGTCGGAGGATGACCGTCTCGACATCCTCTGGGTCCAGCTCCATCGTCTGCTCCACAGCCAACTGTACTGGGGCTGGTTCTCTGCCCGGCAACGGCGCCATGACTTCGTGACACTCACCCGGTTCTCGAGCTGAGCAGTCTCAACATGCAGGTAGAGGCGAGGCGTAGGCACGCTGGAGCGGCGAGGCCCCTTCTCCATCTCATCAAAGAGCGCCCAGTCATCCCATTCGCGTGCTCTGCGCGCCTCCTTGGCCTCCCATCGTCGCTTCTCCTCGTCCAGGTGTTCCTGGAGTTCTTGTTCATGCCGTTCCTGCATCTCAGCCAGGGCCCGGGCATCGCTCTCATCTGCTGCCTTCTCATTCTCCTCCTCTGCCAGCAGTTTATCGATATCATCCAAGCCGTTGTCCCACTTTCCACCAGGATCACGTCTCTCGAACTTTGTGCACCAGTTCCGCCACTTTGCCCAGCAAGCGCTCGCTCCACCTGGTCCCACCACTGCGATGCCCACTGTTCAATCGCCTGTGGCTGCGCTGCACGGCCACTCGCCGCTTCGTTCTCAACCGCAAGCAGTGCCTCGACGGAGTCAAACAGCTCATCCGGCCGCCATACTGCTTCTCGTCGAAGCTTGAGTCGACGCCGCAAGGCGCCAGCCTGGGCACGTGCCACCCCTGCTGAGCTGCGCAGCGAGCGCTGGATCTGGAGATGCAAGTCTTCTCTTTGAATCGACCGCTGCAAATGAGGAACACGATGTCCACCCGTCGTCGCGATCAGACGGCCCATCCGCTAAGCGGTTCCTGTACGACGCTCGCTCAGCATAGACCCTTGGAGTGAACCATCGCCAGTCCTCGGCTCGTGTCTTTCTTCACCTCGTCCTCCCTCCCCACGGGGCCGTTCCGTTCTTTTTGGGCTGCGAGAGGATGCCGTGTCGATGCAGTATCTCGAGAGCCTTCCATAAGGCTGACAGCATCCGCACCGCTGTCATCGAAACCGCCAGGACCGACAGGTGCTCCCAGTGGGCTCCCAGACCAGTCTCCATAGCAGCAGGTGCCCCACTGGACGAAGCATTGGCTCCTAAACCCTCTTCCGAATCCAGACAGACCATAGGCATGTCATGTCCCATGTGATCCAGCAAGCCGGGCCCGTTTGCAGTCCACAGGGGCTTGAGGATCTTCCCAGATGCAACTTGCATGCGCTCCAGTAGGTCAGCTACCCATATCTACCGGATGTGGCCGACAGAACCGTCCGGTCGTTCATCCCATGCTGCTCTAGCCTGTTGATTGGAGTAGTCAGCAGAGCGAGGTCCACGAGCGTGGATGGCCTGCAAGGTGTAGCCCTTGAGTTCCGTTGGCGGTGACCGCTGGCAAAGAGCCCACCTAAGTAGCTGCAAGTCCAGCTCGAAGGGACCCTGTCCCTGTTCAGCCCCAGCAGGCATTCGGCTCACAGGCGGCCCACATACCTCCACCACCTGCGCAGCTGGAAAAAGGTGTCAAAAAGCAACCGCCAACCAAGCCTTTACAATGCCTGAAAGTTAAACTTAAACCTCGATACCTCCAACCCTCAAAGCACGTTTAAATTTTGGTAAAAACCCAAACCTCTATATCACCCTAAGCCTCTCAATCCAAAGTCTTCCACTTCACTTTTTCTAAGGTGGCGCACTGCAGTCTCATGAACATCCGTCTGGGACGTGTACTTGGCACGCAGAGACTAGAGACGCCCACAGCCCCTTGCCACAAGCTATGATGGCATTGTTTCTGGGAGACGCAGGCTTAGATATCGGGCTTTGCATTTTCGAGTTTTGAGTGGTTCAGGAGATAGGCTGCTTACAGGCGCGGGTCTAGGTGCTGTGGTTTGCCTAGATGTACGGCCGAGGGGGCGCAGGACTCAGGGTAATGAAGAAGCCTTAATACGCATTAAATAACCCTATTGGTTGCGGCTTCTTAGAATAAGTGTATACAAGTGCTTATGCAGTGCAGGCGCATGCCCGCAAGAATCCGTGTACAACTGCTACAGTGAACTTCGAAATCGTGCTGGAGATTGCAAAAAGACACCGTACCCTCCGTAATTACTTGCACAATCTGTCCCGTAGCATCATGTCCTCTCCTTGCTTGTTGCAGCATATTAAAATCACAATATGCTGGTCGCTCTGAGGCCCAACTCAAGTCCCGGCCGGGCTTCTTGTAGCGCGTCCCTTCCCGGCACCCCGAAACCATAAGCCGGAAACCACCAAAAAAAAGTAAGCCCCCAGAGTCCCTTAGCCCGGCAAGAGGCCTTCATACGAAGGCCGAAGAGGTGCAGCGGAGTCGCAAGACTGAGAGCGCAAGGAAAGCTTTCCCTGGCCTAAACCTTAAACCTCTACCGAAACCCTAAACCCTAAACCCCTAAGCCCCTAAACCCCTAAACCCCTAAACCTCTACCGAAACCCTAAACCTCCATTTAAGGTTTAGGGGTTTGGGGTCTCCCTCCAAGGTTCCAGTTCCGGTTCCTTGAGGTCGGGGGAAGCTCCGCCGGCTGCACTTCAGAAGCCTCATCCCTTGGGGTTTAGGGTTTAGGGT